GCTCTGAACTGCTCATTTATGAATGACATTACAAGAAATCCCACTTACCCCTCATAAGACTTCTACTTTCTTCATACAATCTGTGTGTACACAGAGCAGAAATTCAAAAGCTGCAGCCTTTCATCCCTTTTAATTATGACAATTCCAAACCTGACCTCACACCCCTCCACTTTCCCCTTCATCCAAGGCACTCAAGTTGGGAGACCACCTAATTTTATGATTGAAATGAATGTTTTCTTTCAACTACAAATGTTTGAGCTCAAAAAACACGCGAGCAGGGTGAGCACAAGCCCTGCCGCTCCTTTGACCAGGTAATATGCTTTTTCTTTTTCTTATTTTTTTCCTTCATTATCCCTTTAATGCAGAGCAGGGCTACTGATTACAAAGAGGCAGCTTGACTCCGGCAATAGGTCTTCTTCACTAATCCTCACTGTCATGGAAATTCCAGCTGCTACAAGAATAAGAGGCTCAATCCATATTTGCCAGCTCTAATATGAAATCTGTCAGAGCCCAAATTAATGAGTTCCAAATTCCTTACATCACGATAACAGGTTAAGACTGGTCAATTAATTACATAAATCCTTCCCGATTCATTGTGCGTTTGCAGCCCAGATTGTGTCTTACATTACTCCATGACACAAGGCCTTTTGGCTCCTGTTGTTCTGCAGAAAGGCCCCATTTAAGTGGAGGCTGCCTGCCACGGCAAAATGTTAAATGTCACACGTTAAATTTGCACTTTTCTGTAATTGCTTTTGTTAAAAAAAAAATTAAATGAAAGCACAGGGTTCCCAGTACACCACCATGCAGAGGGCTGGGAATGTACAGAGCCATCTCCAGCAAGTAGCTGTCTTTACCTCTAAGAATTTACAAGATTCCCTGTTCCCAGTGTCCGGTATACAGTTAAACCCAAAATGTGCACATTTTCATAAATTACGTTTCTCTAAGATCTATGGCAACAAAAATAAATAACTAGGAGGATAATTTGATCCTTTTGTCATGGAAAAGATAAAATCCTTTCCAGGATTAAAATGAAATTCTTTATCTAGCCAGCTTCCCTTTTGTTTACCAGTAAAAGTTTCAGCTGTGTGAAATACTACTGCTTTAATTTATCTTTTCAGTAACATATATTGTATAAATGCATGTGTGTGTGTGTTATACTTTTGTAGATCTCGCCTTCAAAAAGGATGTTGCTGATGGCTTTGCTATTTGGACTTGTAACTGACAAACAACTATAGAGGGGGTCGCAAAGAATTTCAAAAATCATTTAGGCCAAATCTTTTCCTTTTTAAAGCATCAAAATGTTTTGGAATCACGGCTAGTTATTCCAGATCCCACGGGACCTGGAACTGCAGACTTCCAGTTTCCCAGCGGGGTCTCTCCTCGCCCCAAAGCAGGGCCTTGTCGAGTGGACTTTTTGTGTACCTAGATCCTCGGTATCCAGTGGAACCAGTATCATCGTAAGGTGGTTTCGGGGTTGTGCGAATACATGTGCTAGCGGATGGTGCCCCTAAGCATGGACTGCGATCTATGTAGGGCACAGGTTCTTTTCATTCGGGAGCCCAAACTCTACTCCACCATGTAGCCAGACAGACCTAAGCAGACGCGATCTCCAGCAGACAACCACAGCCGCTGCGCTAGCCCGGCAGCGCCCCCGTATGGCCCCTGGCGGCCTTGCACCAGGTACGCCACTCGCTGCGCGCTCGTTTTCCGAGGCACTCAGCTCGGCTTTCTGGGCGTCCAGCCTAATGGGGTAGGGACTCGTCTCTACCCGCCCTCCTTCTCCCCGCCCCCACCTCTCCACACGACCCTAACCCAGGGTCGTTTCTGAACCCGTAGACGTGCGCTTCTTCCCCAGCGGCCCAGTTCTGCTACTAGGAGCGACTGTCCCCTCCCTCTGCAGACCGGCAGGATTTATGGTTCTGGGGAGACCAAAGAGGACTGGGGTTAACTAATGTGTGTGGTGCGTGCGCAGATAAAGCATTTCGAGCGAGTGGGCTTTGCCCCATTTCCACCGCGACTCGAATGAACCCGCGGAGACACTCCAGGCCTCGGCCACACCCAGGCCCCGGCGGCTGGCCGGGGCGCCGCTGAGGCCGGACGGCGGGGCCGGGGTCGCAGCCTCGCGCCGCCTCGCGCCGGCGTCTGCAAAACAAAGACGCGGGGCCAGCCCCAGACTGGGAAATGTCGCCGCCGACGCCTCCCCCGGCGCTGGCGCGGCCCGCTCAGACCAGCGGGGCGGAAAACCCACCGGAGCGGCCAGGCCCCGGCTCGCGCGCGCCCACAAACCCAGCGGGGGCCCTGGAAATGACTCCACCCAGAGGCCCGGAGTCTTCGCTAGTCAAAGGTCCCTCCCAGCCCAAACCCAGCATCCTAGGCCCCTCTATTATTTGTTGTTCTTTTCCGAGCAGCCAGCGCTGTCATCTCAGCACTGGGCAGGGGGCCTCGCGGTGCCCACGTTGGAAGCAGGTGGGGCAGGCAGGGGCGAGAGCGCTGCAGGTCTGGGCTGTAAATTGCAGTCTTTTTGCGGTTGTTGTTCCCACTCGCCGCCCGCCGCCCCCCTCCGCCGGTATTTTTCCCCCCTTTCTTTCCACAGCGCAGTTGCCATGGGTTACCAGGGCGGTTGCCATGGGTTACCGGACCCAGGCCCGCTGGCTCGCTACCTGCCACCCAGTCTCCGCCGCCGGCGGAGCAGCCCGGGTGGGAGGAGGCGGGAGCGCGCGTGTGCGGGACGCGGCGCGGGGAGGTGTGCGCGAGCCGCGGAGGCGCCGCAGCCAACAGGCGGCCGAGGGTGCAGCCGCGGGAGCCGCACCGCCAGTGGGTGGGGGGCAAAGCTATAAAGAAGGCCCAGAGGTAAGAAACTAGCAAAAACACAACCACAAGTTATGCCCGTGCTGTGCTTCTAGCAGCAAAGACAAGCGGTGTGGGGTTTTGGAGGAATCTACACTTCTCGTCGGGGGAGAAAGGGTATTTTCCTCTTTAGCATAAAAGATTTGCATAGTGTCTTTAGACCAGAGTTTAAATTCAGCAGGAAATTGTAGCTTGATTTTTTTTTTCCTCTATATATTTTGAAAAGAAATCTTTGGAATTTTGGAGAAAGAGAAAAGGGTCATTAACTACCAGTTTGCGCAGCTAACTAAATAAATGAATGTCCAATGCACTGTTCTTAACAATGATATAGAAAAGTTTCCAGCAAGAGTGAAGAGCAATTGTGTCTGACTTAAAGGGACAATGGTGACTCGTTTGTGAGATGCAAATGACAAAGACTAGAACCAAAATCCTTTGTGATATTGCAAATTTTAAAGAAATTGTTACTTATCTACATCCTTAAACTTTTAAGCTCCATACTTACTAAAGTGTATTTTCTTAATGACCTTTATTTGCAAAGAAAATTGTCTATGCTTTGAATGTCAAATTGAATGTCAGACAGCATTTTGTATTTGACAATGTTTAGATATACTAAGAAAAGATAATGCATTCCAAACAAGGCAGAAAATTGTTCTGAAATAAATTGTTTCCTCCATTAAAAAAAATCTCATTGTGTTCACAGGACACCAGTAATTTCAGTTAAGAGGAAAACTATTTAGAAACCGAATAATCTTTTGTTAAGCTCTTGTCTTAAAATTTTAGAGGCCTTTTGTGAAAGTCTTCCTTTATAGCTGAAATACTGAAAATCTTATTTGCACTAAGTAGTGCAATGAGGATGAGTGGTTAAGGCACCACAAAAAAACTATAAACTGAATTCAGAACTAAAACAACTTACATTGAACATAGTGATAACTATAGTTAAATGAATTTGTTCAAATTCTTTATAGCCATAAAAATTATTCTTTCACCTTAAACAGCAAGGTTATTGGACATCACTTGTCATTATTCAATAAAATATGAACTAGACTTGGAAAACTACTATAAAACTATTTTTAAGGGGGACTTAAAATATTGCTTAAACATTGGTATTTTTCCTTAGTGATTTTTAAAACTTGAATTTTAACTAGAATGTAAAACCTTTTCTTTGAAGCGAGACTTTAAAAGAAGGTCTAACAGGTTGTTGACTTTTATTGTTGACATGTACGGGTAATATATAATAAAACCAATTTTTAAAACAAAGCATATAAACTGGCTTTATAAATGATGGTTTACCCTTTCAGAACTAGCCAGGGAAATACAGCATTGCTGTATGCAAATCATAAAGCATCCAGAGTTTGAATTCTTTCAGTTATATTAAAAAGTTTCAAACATATATTTAGTTTCCTTAGGTATCTAGTTTCTCTTCCTAAGGAAAACTTTATAAAAATATGCCAGAGAAAAGTAAGAGGCTTGAAAAAACCATGAAAGCCATTGGGGGTTGAAGTTCATCTAAATATCTCAGCTTCAGGAAATCCAGTACTTACATAGCAAAACAACCAACCAGTCAGGGTAAAAAACATCAAATGTTGACAACTATAGTGAATAGTGTAACAAATTTTACCTTAGTTCCTTATAAAAAATTGCCAGTCGTTCAAAAACATACTGAAGATTAGGTCTAAGTCTGAAGAAGTAAATTCTCTCATGTAAAATAAATAATACAACAAACTTAAGTTGATTTTTTCATGTTTAATGTGAAAATGATGACCTTGTGAAGTTTATATACTGTGGTATTAGGCATTAGTTAATATCAATTTTAATGGCTATGTTACATCATCTGAAAATTTGACAATTGGTGGTACATTATATGTTTTTGAAAACTGTTGTAATACAGAAATAATGTGAATTGAAATATGTATCACTGAGAGGTTAGGGATGCTCTTAAATGCCTGGATGGCAAACTTTACATGATAGCACAATAAAAAAGAAATTGCTAAATCTTTTTCCCCCTGAATAAAAATAATGAGTTTCAAATAATAAATTCACAGTATCCAAGATATATTAAATGAAAAATTTACAAACATTTAATAATGCTTTAGACCAAGGAAAAAAATAGGAGAAAATTAAGGAAATCATTCTTATTCTAAATTTCATTTTTTTCTATTCTCAGAAGCATTTCAAAGACTTTTTAATAATAACTTGTAAGCTTCTTGTTAAAACAAAATGAAGTAAAGTAACATTTAATTAAAGCAACAAGTTCTCCCAGTTACGAAATATCTTCCTTTGTCACTCAAGGTATTTTCTACTATTTAACAAGAAAGAAACTTGGACAGTTCTCTCAAGAAAATGCTGGCTCATCTAAAATTTGATGTTCAAAGAAGTTTTAGACATTTTTATCTTTGTGCCACTAAAACAAAACAAAAAAAAAAACATTTTAGTAAAATTATACCCATCCTCAGGCAGATGCCTAAAAAGAAATGGCATTTTTTTAATGAGTAAATTCTGAAATCAACAAATTGATATTCTTTTCTGACATGATGGGATTTTGCTGGTAAAATTAAATGTATTGATTTTTATAAGATCCTATTTCTAACTTTTAAGAAAAGTGACAAGTACCAACCAATGAAAGTTACCTAGTGATACGGTATTGCACATTTAGTGAGAAAATAAATCACTAAACTATAATTGTAATTATACAATGATAATGACAACAAATGATTTCCTTCCATGTGTTTAAACTGCTTTTGGACAATGAAAATGGATCTCTGAATTGATGTATTGCAAAATTACAAGTAGTAGTTCTGTTTTTTCCTAAGATGAAAGCATTATTTTTCCATGTCTCTATTGATAATATACATATTCCATCTGAGTGTGAAACAGAATACTGGAAAGGTTAAACACTTCTAAAATATCTCAAATACCCAACAAGTAGTGTTTTCCAGCGCAGGGGAGGTGTCCACAAAACAGGAGCCGCATGTCTGAAAGAGACAGGTTGGTCTAAGCTGCTGTGGGTCTTTATGGTGGCTAAGACCATACACACTATGTTTACAGTAACACTGCTCCATTTATACAAGAAGGAATACACTATCTGGATTTTAAATGCTACCTATTTACCTATCGTTTAACATTCAGTAAGCCGACTCTATTTTTTACACATATAAATCATTTCACAATAGGATCTTGTTTTACCAATAATGTCTGCCTAGAGAGGAGAGTATTGCATTCACAGGCTTTTAGCTTATTACAGAAGCTTAACCAAAATAAGACAACGTAAAAATACCATTAATAAACAACCGGAGTCTCTTAAGAATTTAAATAGCTAACATCATGACAGTGAACTTTAGGTAAGAATATATTATTAGCAAGCTTTCTTCTCTCTGACTGTACATCATTTGCTGTTCTGAAGATGGTAACATTAGAATTATTTTTCAGGATTCTTGCGGGGCTGTGCTCATTTTACATCCATGTGAACTGCTGTCATCACTACTGTGTCCAAACCCAGAGGATGAACTGGAAAAGAAGAGAGGGGGAAATAATAAAAAGAGGAAATTGGTTTTCACAACACACTCAAAGCCTGAGTAACAGAGGAGAACTTTAATTATCTCCAGTCACAAAGAGAGACAGGAAATTTGGACTTTTAATTAGCCATTTGGAGTGCAGTTGGATATTTTTTTAGCTAGATAATTTAAACGCGAATAATTCAAGTCTGACTAAATGAAAGTCACATAATCAGAATGCAGATAATTGAATTTCTACTGCATTCATTAATTCAGTGTGGAGGTGTGTGTGAAGACTACTATGATGAGCTGTCACAGCTCAATAAAATCTCAGTCAATTAATTTTTTCATTATCTTAGTATTACATCAACAAAAAAGTGAAGTGTGTGTGTATATCTATACACATGCATATGCGCACTAGGTGTTGTATAAATACGTATACATTAAATCAAAATGCCAGGAAATACCTTTCTGAATCATAATCTATATCATTTTCTTTTTTTCCTTCTTCATCTTCTTCGGGGAAACGTCTGTTCATCAAGGCAAACTTGTGAATCGCTTCTTCTACGGAGTATTTAGTCTGCCCGGAAACACATGCCTCAATGTCTTCTGAGTTCAGATGGCTCTGCAAGAAGAGGTGGAGGCTGCTGTCTGAGAGCAAAAGTGCGTTCTGTAGGACCCTAAGGGAAGAAAACGGGGTCATCGGTGAGCAGGGGTAGACAATTACAGGTGGAAGAGAGAAGACAGAGAAATGTGCCACCAAAGTCATTTCTCTGCTGTGGCAAACTTTCATCAATTACGGACTCTGCCTATTAAAGGGATGGAAGCATATGTTAACTTTTATTCAATTATTTGGAAATTTAGGTGAGTAAAAACATGAAGCTAATAGTTAAGAACATCTGTTAAAAGAATAACTTCAAGGACATTTCTTCAATTTAACCATCTGTTATGACCATGTGGATTAATTACAGAAATATTTTGCTTATATAGGCAGAGAAATTTATTCTACTTAAAAATTTTTTTACTGCCAAGCAGCACGTCACTGCTGTGATCTTTACTGGCGGGGCTGTCATGAGACATCAAAACTTTCAACTACTATTAAAATTATATTTAAAAGTCAGTACATTCCTCAGCATGTTTCACATTTTAAAACTTTACAAGGAAGCTTATGAACATGTTTACAAGGGCTCAGTTGAGAAGTAGCCTTTTTTGAATACTTAAAATTACTGGAAATTTCTCAAAAATTTTCAGCAATACTGCATATCTATGTTTGTTAAAATGAGCCAACAAGTAAAATTGCTCTCAGTCATTTTTACCATATATGCAATTAAAATACGGTACTCCTGTGATAAATACGTAACTATCCTTCCCCACGTTCAAGATCCAAGTTGAGACCAAACAAATTTCTACTCAAGTATTAGAACTACATGGAAGATTCAAAACTACCCAGGAGCAAAATTTGCACATATTACTATTATTGAATATTTTCTTTCCTGAACTATATGTCTGAGAATAGGAAACCAAGTCAAAGTACACTCAGTTAAATGAAAGCTGCTTTTACCTTCGAAACAAAGTTTGATATGTGATACTTCAGTCTTTACAAATAGTTCTATAATTAAACAACATGTAGGGGACAAAACTAGAATACTAAAACCCAACTAAAGTTTTGCTCAACATGGGATTTTCAGAGATCTATTAAAAAATTAAAAAAGAGATCATGTATTTCAGGCCAAATGAACCTTACTTTGTACTCTGCATTTTTTTTTAACAAGTAATTAGAAAACTAAGCATCTTTTGGCCATCCACATCAATTCCTTTAAACCCACGGTCATTAGAATTTTCTTTTCTTCAAGATAAAATGATTATTTCTTCAAGAAAGCAACTGTGTAAAAATGTACTGTATAAAACCAAAGTTGATTCCCTTTGCTTAAGTTAAGGCTTACAAATACAAGTGAGAAAATACCCCTTCCTGGATTACCAAAAGGAAAAGGAAAGCCTTTGTGCTTTTTAAAAGGCAAATCTCAAGCAAAGCAGCTAAACACTTCCTCTGCCTCCATGTCCTCTGGCCTGGCTCTCCCAGAAGATGACCATATCACATGGTGAAGATGAATTTACCAAGTCCAAGTAGGAAAGTAGTAAATCCCTTTTACTACTCTTTGAGATTTATCTTCTACATTTACAACTGTTTACCATTCTTGTTTTAAATACTTCAAATCAAGAAAAGATTTATATAGCAAGGGCCCATTAATATTAACTTGCATTCCCTGTGACGTTTGAATGGCACTTCCTGTGTCCTTCTGTCAGAGGTTTCCTGCCAGCCATACACAGTAACTGTTCATAGAATTACTCTTACTGCTTTGTTTCTGTTGGAAATGTGTTTTATTTTCTTTATAAAATAATGGGTAATCTTTAAAATTGATTTTAGATGGTTCGAGGCATTACACCACAAAAGTAATGAGCACTAATGCCAATGATATTGGACACAAATTCATTTTCGCTTTATTTCATGTCTAAAGCAATTCTATTGAGCCTTGAACTGCTCGTGCACTGTTATTAACTTGTGAGTAACCTAACACATGGGTACAGCCAACAGAAGTGATCAGAGTGTCCAGGTTGATCGGGACCTCAAGGCTACTGTCCTTTTTCTTGAGCTATAATTCAATTTCCAATTTTACTGTACATTAGACTCATTATTTTCCAGTGTTTTCTGCTGAATACTGCCACCTGGAGGACACCTAGGTGAAAAAAGAATGGGAACCCCGCACAGCCAGTTAGAGAGAGATGCGGCTGGGGAGGGTTGCACTTACATTGGCTCAGAGTTCAAGCATCGTGGATCTGCTAGGCATCGTTTCTGCTTTTGTGAATTGCCTTTGTTTCATTATCTAAATTTATGCCACCTTGCCCAACAAAAAGTATTTATGCTTTTTATTTTTAGACATATTTCATTCTGAAATTAAATTACAAAAATTATAGTGTTTTCCTGATTTGGCCAGCATAATTAGCTTGTTTTAACTGACATCTGATTTGCTAAATATGTGTGTGTATGTGTGTGTGTGTGTACCTGTAGGAACTGTGACTGCCATCGTCATCATATCATATCCTGTTTCTATCTTACACCTATACTACGTTCTCTACACACAAACAAATCTAGTAGCAGAAAATCAACTTCAATCTGAAAGATTATTGTATAGAACAGTCAACAAAATGCCATTTTTAAAATAAGCCCCATAAAAATAAATGTATAAAATGTTCAAGCCTTTATAAAAGGAACAAAAAATAGCCTCAGGATTTTCAAAGAATTTCTGAAAAGATATTTACAGCATGAATCAAAAGTTATCCCTTCCCCCATTATAACTTTACTCGAAGCAAAACCTGTTTTTCCTCTGAATTGCACAAGTTGAAAATCTGGTTTTCTTCAACATAATTGTATTAGGTGACTTCTATGTTGGTTCAATTAAGAACAATACATATAGCTATGAAAAACCATTTAATCCTAAGGAAACCCTAGGTCTACAGCACACAATACAAGGATAAACAGACATGCACATAGAATGTGGAAGGTTAGTCACTTCGTGTAGGGAGGAAAAAAATAACTCAGCTTGTTTACCTCTCACCATGAGAAAAAATAAAATCCACAAATCTTCACGGAAGACATTCATGATGTGTGCTGGGGCGCCCTCTATTGAACACAAGGAGTTATAAAAGTGTGTGTGTGTGTGTGTGTGTGTGTATAATACTAGCTGCAGTGTTACAGTGGGATCATTCTGTATGCTAAAAAATTAGTAGGAATTCTTAACATCCTTCTGTAAAAAAAAAAAACTCTCCTTAAATTTTGAAGAAATACTAAACCCTAATATATGTTACCTTATGTTATAAGGTAAATACAGTTATATGAATGGGATTAATTCATTAAGGAAGGAAAGCTACCTTCTATCCCTGATATCAATCAAATTTAAAAATTAGGAGTGCTTAACATCAATTCATAGTTAGAGACTTGCCAACAAGAGTCTATAATTTTAGTTTCTAGCTTTCTTGTGCTATCACTGTTGATAGAAGTGACTTTCAGTTTATAATTAGACTGGGGGGAAGGGAGGGGCCCAAAAGGAAAAGTTTTGTCAAGACTGAGGAAAAATTAATACAACTGAAAAATATCACCCTTGTACTGACCAAATTTAACCAGCAATAAAGAGTTCTGCTAGTTATAAACTGGTTGGTTCCTAGATAAATACAGTTCCTACACCTTCCCTGCAATACTCTCATCGGTAACACTGGGAAACACTTAACTCCTAGTACTGTTAAAGGTACTGAGTAAAATTGTGAAAAGCTAAACATACAGCAAATGTTCATTAGATGGTATAAATTGCTATTATTTGGCATCTAGTCAAAGAACCGACTCTAATTCCTCTGTGAACTGGCGTGGATAGATACCTTGCTATTAAATATGTATTATTTCACAAGGGACTTAAAAATGAAAAGAAATCATACTATCTACATGTAGCACACACACACATGCACAGAGATGGCGCCGTTTTGGAGTTTGAATACAAATGATGTTCTTGATTATGACTTTAAAACTTAACAAAAAACTGACTGTTAAATTTATGCTAAAAAGCTACAGTGCAAGCACATTCTTGTTTTAATGCTGTGTTGTCTTCCCTCTCAAGTTCCTAAGCATTGTACGAGAGCCTGGTGAGGGCTGCGGTCATAGCTCTACTTCAGGGGGCCTCAGAAGACAGTCAACGGAGGCCAGGCCGTGGCGCTCAGGTGTCTGCATTACTTGGGGCACCAGTTTCCCAAAGTGGCTTTGGGTCAGGGGTAGGGTGCCTGGCAGGGGGACAGAAGAGGAACCTTCTGTGTAAGGAACCTTCTGTGTGAGGAAACAGGCCAGGGAGGGTGTGCAGGAGGGCGTGCAAGGGGTAGAAGTTACCACTTCTACACAAACAAACTGGACAAAGAACAGGAGCGCTGTGTGAGAGAATCTGAAGGACACAGAAAGGACTGGGAGAGCAGGCATGGGTCAGGCCTGACTCCAGCCTTGTGGTATGAGATCCTTGCTTAGATCAGGTCCGGACCACAGGGAACCACCAGCTTTTGCTTTTAACAGAAAGCTCGTCGGTTTGAAGACAAAGGCTTCCCTATCAAAGCAGAACAAAAAACAGCACACGAGAACGCAGTGTCTGCTCCATGATGTGATTTCTGGATGTGATCCAGATCCAGTTTAACGAATCCCATCATCCCCTGAGTTATGCATACTGGGCATGGACACTGGAATGGAGCTCCAAGAAGGCAAGGATTTGTGTCCACAATGTGCCGCCTTCAAGCCCCAGAACCCTTGGGGTCTGAAGGAGCCACTTAATAAATATGTTGACAAAGGACCGAAGCAGTTTCTAGAGTCCTTCCTGAGCCACATCAGAAAGCTACCACCAACCAGTGAGTACGGCAACCATGTGTGACAGAATGGCACTCACAGCGAACCGAGGCTCAAAGGATTAAAGTAACTTTTACAAGGCCACAGAGCCGGAAAAAGCCAGAATCTAAGATCATGGGATACCTGGAACCCTGCTTCTCACGCTCCAGACCCAGGACAGTTTCTATTCTGACATCTGTATCAAATTCAACCAGCAAACAGTCAAATGACAACATATGCCAACACAAATAAATAAATAAAATAACACCAGCA